GGTTTCCTCTCTCAGCTGTCTCCCTCTGAGTGATTGCTACCATCAGTCTGTAAGCAAAAAGGGCTGGTGGTTTCAGTTTAGGAATATGGAGGAGGAGGAGAGAGAGGCAGGGGGGCGGGAGGAAACCTGTACTGCCTCCTTTCTAGTGAGCTGGGGGAGAGAAAAAAACCCCAGGCAATCCAGAAGATAGTGTCAGCTTTAATCAAGAAACCAGACTCAGCCCAAGGGTAGGTAAGCTGTGTCTGAACACTGACCTGTTCAGGAGGCCTTTTAGGTTTTCTTATTTGATTTTTTTTTTTTTTAATTCTTCCGTTTTCTTCTCATCCACTCTCTGTAACCAGCTCCATTTCTTTGCTGAGAATTATGCTGGTCAAAGCCTTCCTGCCAGCTGATTTCTGGAGTTCTACACAGTCTATGCCAGGCCACTGGGATCCTCTTCCCCCAGACACAGACCTATCTAATCTGACACAGTGCTTTTGCTGGCCTAGGCGTCAGCTTGTGCCCTGTGTACCAACTGGGCACTCCCTAGGACCTGCTGGTCTGCATACCTAACCAACTAGCCAGCAGCAGTGAATGGGACATTTGAGCACCTCCCAAACCACAGTATAATTTTTCCCTAGACTCTTTGTGGGAGGTGACATGATTGTAGCAGATCCCTACAACTGGTAGGAACCAGCCCCCACGTGACAAGAATATTGTCCTTAGAATAGGATTTCTGTAGTTATATGATGGCCTTGGATGTAGATGAAGTAGATGCTTTGTTTCAAAGAGCTCTGTCTAGCTCTTTTCCTCCCATAATGTTTTTTTCCATTGGCCTTTTTCTAAATTCTGTAGATGGGTGGGTGGGGCACAGTGTCTCACCCCCATAATCCTAGCACTCTGGGAGGCTAAGGTGGGAGGATTGCTTGAGACCAGGAGTCTAAGACCAGCTTAGACTGGTCTTAGCAATAGTGAGACCCTCTCTCTACTAAAAATAGAAAAAATTAGCCAGGTGTAATGGTGGATGCCCGTAGCCCGAGCTATACAGAAGGGTGAAGCAGGAGGATCATATGAGCCCAATGAGCTCACACATCATTGCTGTGAGCTATGATGTTGCCACTATACTCTAGCCTGGGAGACAGATGGAGATGCTATCTCACTAAAATAAAGAAAATTATCCTATGGCCATAGGTTGATTCCTTTGACTAAGCATTGCCCTTCCTAGATTTTCTTTTTTTTTTTTTTTGTTTGGGGCTGGGTTTGAAACCACCACCTCCGGCATATGGGGCTGGCTCCCTACCTTTTTGAGCCACAAGCACCGCCCTCTTTTTTTTTTTTTTTAAGAGGAAGTCTCTGGGAGAGGTAGCATACTAAATTGCTTTACAATGAACAGCTGTTAGATATATTCTTAAAAAGTAAAAATTTATTTTTTCTCACTCTGTTGCCCTGGCTAGAGTGCAGTGTATACTGTCACAGCAATCTCAAACTCCTGGGCTCAAGCAATTCTCCTGCCTCAGCCTCCTGAGCAGCTGGGACTACCAGTGCCCACCACAATGCCTGGCTAATTTTTTTCTATTTTTAGTAAAGAAAGGGTCTTGTTCTTGCTCAGGCTGCTCTTGAACTCCAGAGCTTAGGTAATCCACCCACCTCAGCCTCCCAAAGAGCTTGGATTACAGGAGTGAGCCACCGTGCCCTGTCTCTTTAAACATTTTTTTAATTGACAAGTACTATATAGTAAAACCTCCATAGTTGACTACCTCCTTAAGTTGACCTAATTTTCATAGACTAGACATGCACCACATGTACACATCGATACAGTAGGCCTAGTTCCTTATGATGACCACCTCCGTGTGTGGACCAGTTTGTTATAGTCCCTTGGGTAGTCAACTTACAGAGATTTTTACTGTATATATTTATGGGGGAGACATATTCTTTTAAGGGGATGTAGCATCTTAGGTGCACTAGGCACCAACAGTAGAGGGCATTTCAGGGGATAAGAAAGAAGTTCAGAAATGGGGGGGAGGGGGAACCAGGATGAGGCCTAGCAGTGTGCCAGGTGCTTCCAAAATACTGGGCACTTTACAGGCACTCTACTGTACTAGCTCATTTAATTGTCACAACAACTTTGGGAAATGAGGACTATCATCACCCTATTTTACGGATGAGGAAATGGAGGTTAAGGAGTGTAAGTGAATTACCCAAAATCATGCAACTAGTTTGTGTCTTGTTTTTCGGTGTGATATTTGTGCTGGGGTCCCCAAGAGCACCCCCAAGGAGACAGGTGCCCCCAGGGAGGACTCACAGGACTCAGCATGTGCAATGGTTTATTACAGCACAGGGATGTACAGCAAGATCAGGCAAAGGAAAAGGCACAGAGATGAAATCCAGGGAAGCCAGGCAAGCTTCTGAGAGTCTCCTAATGGAGTTACACGGGACACACCCACATCTCTGTCAGTGTCACACGTCTAACCAGGGAAGCTCAGCTGAGACTCAGTGCCTGAGGTTCCCCGATGGGGGCTGGTCACAGACACCTCCTGTCTTTCTTGCACAAACCAAAATTCCTGACTCCCAGATGGGGAGCAAGTGTTCTGCATAAACTACGTTGTTTGTTGAAACAGTTTAGGCACAGTGACCCTTCTCAGTTCTGGGAGTGGTGGGAACCTTCCTAAATCCAAGGGCCACAGACCGACCTTGCAAGCAGTCCCAGGCCTCCGGTGTTAATTCCTTTCTGCGTAGATATATGTATCCTTTCCACTCTTGCAGTGTTTTTAAAAAGGAACAGTTTACGTGTTTCCTTTTCTATAAGGATTTATCCCTGATAAATCTTGCATAATCACCCAGGATTAAAGAAGATAATGTGTCAGGGTGCTTGGCACACGTGCCACATAGTAAGCATTCTGTAGATACTGTCCTTATTGGCTGCTTGTGTGTCTATTAAGATGGTAAGATGCTCAAATGAACGCTGAAGTCATGAATTCCATCCCCACTCCCCCTGTCATTCCCAGGTGGCCCCTATCAGATTGAGGTCAACATCTCGGCCACTGGCGAGCTCCCCAATGGCACCCTGTATGTAGCCAAGGGCTCCCAGGTGGACTTCAGCTGCAGCAGCAGCTCCTGGCCTCTACCCATGGTTGAGTGGTGGTTCCAGCCCCCGAATTCCACGGGCGAGCCCTTTGGAAACAACCTGACGCTTAGCTCATTCACACTGTTACTGATGTCACCAAACCTCCAGGGGAACTACACCTGTTTGGCCATGAACATGCTCAGCGGGAGACAGCGAAAGGTGACCACCGAGCTCCTGGTCTACTGTGCGTAAGAATCACTCCCCTCCCTGCCTTCCTCACCTTAACCCTTTATGAACTGCGTGTTTGTGCTTGTTCTTTTGTGTTTAAAGGCATGCCTGTCCGCTGCGTGGGTCCCAACCTGTTTTTGCAGCCTGTGTAACTAACACACATACACACACCCAGCTAGGGGCTGTGATGCATCAGGCCAGGGAATCAGGAGATCCCTTCCAGAAGCTTGCTGCTCACCAGGGCCACAGGAGAGTCCCTGGGAGCCACAGAGGGAAACTAATGCAGAGCCTCATGCATTCCTTTTTTAAACTGAGGTGAAAATATATAACATTAACTATTTTAATGTATAATTCAGGAGCATTTACTATGTTGTGCAACCATCACCTCTATTTCCGAAACATTTTCATCATTCCGAATGGAAACCCTTGCACCCACCAAGTACTCACCCCAATTTCCTCCCAGCCCCTGACCACCACCAACCTGCACTCCACCTTTTGCCTGCTCTGGGTCCTTCATATGAATGGACCATATGAAGGCCACACTATGTGGCCTTTTGTGTGTGACTTTTATTCAGCATCTTTCTTCTGCGCTTTATCCATGTTGGAGCATGTATCAGCACATCATTCCTTTTTATTTTTATTTATTTATTTTTTTGAGACAGAGCCTCAAGCTGTCCCCCTGGGTAGAGTGCTGTGGCATCACAGCTTACAGCATCCTCCACCTCCTGGGCTCAAGTGATTCTCCTGCCTTCTCCTCCCAAGTAGCTGGGACTATAGGTGCCCACCACAATGCCTGGCTATTTTTTGGTTGCAGCCATTGTTGTTGTTTGGCGGGCCCGGGCTGGATTCGAACCTGCCAGCTCAGGTGTATGTGGCTGGCGCCTTAGCTGCTTGAGCCACGGGCGCCGAGCCAACATCATTCCTTTTTAGCACTGAGTAATAGTCTAGTACATGGACAAAACACTATTTATTCATCTGTTCATCCATCCTCAGACATTCTTTTTGTGAACCCAGTGTGACCATCACAGGCACGAGGCTTCTAGCACAGTCATGAGCCAGTAGTCCAGGAGTCTTTTATTTGGCGGATGGGGAGACACCAACCAGATACTCCAGTACACAAATGTCTTGGATGAAGACCCTTGTGGAAATGCAGTGTCCTTTAAGCCGTGCTAAGGCAGGAGAGCATCAGAGCAAAGTAGCAGGCAGAATAATGACACATTACTCAATGTGTATGTTATCAGAGCCTTTATAAGTCTCAATGTTCTCTATCATAAATAAAATTTATTGTATATAAAATTATACATGCTTGTTGTAGGAAATACAGATCATTATACAGGAGAAAATAATCACTTGTGCTCTAACCATTATTTTGGTATATCTGCAGTAATTTTTCTTATACATATATATACCCACCTTTCTGGAGGAGAGCTAAATTTATATTTATATGTATTACATAAAATATATAAAATATGGCGGTGCTTGAGGCTCAAAGGATTAGGGTGCCGGGCCCCATATGCTGGAGGTGGCAGGTTCAAACCCAGCCCCGGCCAAAAACTGCAAAAAAAAAAAAAAAAAAAATATATATATATATATAAAATATATGCTTACATACATAACATACATGAATATACACATATGGTTATTAATGCATATGCTGGATTTGCAGGTTTGTAATCTTTTGAATTTCTGTGTGTTTTTATTAATACGTGCACCCTTTGAAAAGGGATAGAGGTACAAAGGCATGTATGTCAGGGGTGGGGTGATAAGTCTCCCTCCACCTGTAACTCCCAGTCTCACGTAGGCCCTGGCCAGAGGCAGCCACTGTTAGTTTTTAGGGGCCAGCATTTCCCAACAGAACTCTCTACAATGAGAGAAGTGTTTTCCTTCATGTGGTCCAATGTAGCAGCCACTCACCCTGTGTGTGGTTACTGAGCGCTTGAAATGTGGGCTGTATGATGGAGGAACTGAATTTGTAATTGCATGGAATTTAATTAGTGTAATTAATTATATGTAAATAGGTACATGAGGCAAGTGAGAAATGCAAAGATGCGTGAGACCCAGGTCCTTGGAGATTTAAAACTCAGCAGAGGGAACCTAACTATATTGTCAAATAGGAATTTGTGCAAGGAGCTATTTCAAGGTACACTAACTGGGGTTGATATTTCTCTGAGATCCTGGCTCTGTAATTCTCAGAATCAGTGCAATGGTTGATCCTGGAGTCCTGATTAAGCCCGTGTTCCCTGCAGTCCCGCCTCCATCAGCTCCTAAGTGTTGGGCAGAGGTGTCATCAGGATCGTCTACGCTGCAGCTCATCTGTCGCTGGGATGGGGGATACCCTGACGCTGAGTTCCTGTGGACAGAAGAGCCAGGAGGTGTGATCATGGGGAAGTCAAAGCTGGGAGTGGAAGTGCTGAACCAGTCCCAGCTGTCAGATGGCAAGAAGTTCAAGTGTGTTGGGAGCCACATAGTGGGGCCAGAGTCGGGAGCCAGCTGCATGGTGCAGATCGGTGGGTCTCTCTTGCTTTGTCCTGGGGATGGGGTTACCCTCCCTTCCTCTCTCCTGGGAGAAGCATTTGACAGTAGTTCCTGGAAACAAATCCCAGGGTGTCAGAGTGAATTGACTCCTTCCCCTTTCTTCCTTTCTTTTGCTTTATGTTTCATTCCTTTTAAACTTGAAAGGTGCTTGGCTTCTTGGGTCTAGTCTCAGCTGTTTTTCACTTGACAAATACTAACTGAGCACCTGGTGTGTGTCAGGTGCAGTTTCTAGGAGCAGAGGATAGAGCAGTGAACAGAATAGGTGAGTTGAATACATCAGTGATCTCTTGTTGCGTAATAAATTATGGCCAAATGTAGTGACTTAAAACAACAATAACCATTTATTATCTCATTCCTTCTGTGGTTTAGGCAGGGCAGGTTGGGCATGGTTTGTCTCAGCTTCATGAGGTCTGGGGTCGCACTGGGAAGACCTGAAGTTCAGGGGGCTGAAGTCATCTGAAAGATTCACTTCTGAGGTGCAGGTCTGAATGCCTGGCAACCAGTTTATCCTGGTTTGCCAAGAACTTTCCTGGATGTGGCACTGAAAGCCCCACGCCCTGGGCAAACTGGGACGGTTGATCACTCTGAATTCCAGCTGCGTTGTTTATTTAGTTGTGTAACTTTGAGCAACTTAATCAACATTCTTGGTGACTCAGTTTCCTTTTCTACAAAATGGGGATGATGGGGTTGTTGTGAGAACAAGTGGGCTAATATGTTGTAACAGTGCCTTGCCTGTCGTAAATGTTCAACAAATGTTAGATTTATTATGAAAGACCAGATGTGGTGCAGAAATTCCTGGAGTTGCTTGGTTAGGAAGGAAGTAGAATAGTCCTCCCTATCCACAGGGGATATGTTCTGAGAACCCAGTGGATGCCTGATAGCACAGATACTACCTAACTCTGTATATACCGTGTTTTAGCCATGCATACATACCTATGATAAAGTCTAATTCATAAGTTAGGCACAGTAAGAGATTCACAACAGTAATAAAATAGTACAGTTATAACAATATACTGTCATGGAAGTTCTGTGAATGTGATCTCCCTCGTTCCCTCAAAATACCTTATGATACTGTACTCACCCTTCTTGATGAAGAGGGGACAGCACAGGATGGTGTGACATTTCATCACGCTCCTCAGGACAGCGTACAATTTAAAGCTTCGTGGAAACAAAACTTTGAGTTTATTTCTTGGAATTTTTCATTTCATATTTTCATGGTAACGGAAACCATGGAAAGCAAAACAGTGGATAAGGGGGAGATGACTAATTTCTTGAAGATCTTGGGCTGTGATTTGAACCTCCTTAAACACTGGTATTTCTTTACCTTCTTGTGATCACCAGGGAGCCCTTCCCTTCTGTCTGAGCCCATAAAGACGTGCTTCGTGGGGGGCAATGTGACACTCACCTGCCAAGTGTCTGGAGCCTACCCTCTTGCCAGGATCCTGTGGCTGAGGAACTTCACCCGGCCCGAGGTGGTCATCAAACCCAGCAGCCACTACCTCATTACCCAGGATGGCCAGAGCTCTACCCTCACCATCTGCAATTGCTCCCAGGGCCTGGATGAGGGCTACTACGTCTGCCGGGCCGAGAACCCCGTGGGGGTGAGGGAGGTGGACATTTGGCTGAGTGTAAAAGGTGAGTGGTGGAAGTGGCCCGAAGGAGAAGGGTTGAGAGATTCAGAGCTCCAGGCATCAACACAGGAGCCTGGTGCCTCCCTACACATGGGTCACTGCCAACTGGGAATGGCGTATCTGTTTGCTTGTGGCTTGACAAGGTGCTGGGAAAAATTATTATCCAACCCTGAAATCCTTAACATTTGTATAGGGAGCAAAAAACATATGCTATTACACACCAGAACATATATATGATATATGTAAGTTGTGAAGGATAATAACAAAATGAATACCTAAGAAACTACCATCTACTTAAAGAAACAGAGCAGCGCCAACATTGATGAAGCTACCTGCAGGTTACAGGGCTGGATTTAAAAAATAACAATAAAACTTACGCAACCAGGATGCCCACTCAAATTAGAATTTTAGAAAAATAAAGAATTTTTTTTGTTTGTTTGTTTTTTTTGAATTTATTAATAGTTTATCACTCATATTCATAGCTCAGGAACACAGGTCAGTGACAAACGTCTATGTAAATCAGCCCAAAGAAATTCTTTATATTTCAAAATTATTTTGCTCTCTGAAAGACACCAGCCTTCCTCATCTCCTCAAAATCTTTCATAGAATCATGATTTCTGTAGAAATCTGCATATGCCTTCTTTCTTGGTTCAGCCACAGCCAACTTATAGAAAACTGCAACCCCCAGGAATACAAATGCTCTAGCAATATGAATCCGCAGGCGCCTGGCCAAGAGGCCACACATCTGAGGTTTGGCCAAAGCACCGGAAGCCATGGTAGTCACTGTCCTTGTTGGGTATGCCAACCTCAGTGCGTCCTTCCCGGCTGAGGTACACACAACTGCTCATTTTTTTGTATAAGTGTGTTTCAAACATTGCATGAGA